CGCGAAGATAGAAAAAAAGATGGTAAAAACCTGGAGTTGAAACTCCCCCTCCTGATCACAAGCACTATTGACTTGGGCCATCGTGTGATCTTTATTAGGTCAAATATCAATAGCTGAACAAATTGAACATTTCAATGTCGGAACACACAAGGGCTACGTCGATGTGGGCCCTTTTTATCGACGGCTATTGATTAAAGTGGCTGAATTGTGTTTCAATCACGCGAGTAGCAGCGTCAAAACTTGAAGAATAAAAGGTATTTTATTTATTCAACTGATCTTTGTTAGAAATTGAAGCATTTTATAAGCAAAGAAAACCGTTTAAAACCTGATAGGTGTCATAAACAAGCTGGTGACAAATACTGGCATAATATCTTCATTAGTTTAATAGATACATAATTAGTTATCTGAGAAAGTTTTTTTGCTAGATAGACTATTGTTACATAATGTCAGCTGGGGGTCAAACTTTTACTCGTAGAGTTCAATTCTAAATAATAACGAATACGATGAAATCAACTGTTATTACCGAAATGGTTATATTTAGCTCTTCATGCAATTCGTGACCAAACATTTTACGTAATACAAACGTGAAATGGACTGTAATAATTTAATTATAAGGTAAAAAATAATGGCAGTTGACATTTTACTTAAATGTAATAAAAAGTGAGATAAGATTTGTGTGTTTCCATAGATTTAAAAAAGCAGTTGTGTATTATTTCCAAGCAATATTTTTTCATGTATTTTTTTTAACGGAATAACTGGCCTTTTTTATGGTTCTTCTCTGTAAGGTAATTTTTGCAGTAGCTAGTGTACCTACTACAAAATTTTCAAGTGCAACAGTCAATTTACTGGCGCCGACACGAATGGTGAATCACTTTTAGTTTTTGAGTCATACGTATCCAGTTCTATGAAACTTATGCACATACGCATGTATGTATATGCTTACATGAGATGTAACGGTTATGACGTGCGTTATTTAGTCAGACCACGTGTTGTCGCTATTTTCTTCACAATTGCTGTAACACCAGAGTATTCGTGCCCCTAGCTATTTATACGTCGCACGACTTAATCGCCATCCATTACGGGCTCAGCTCACATCGCATCCAAATGAGCCGACGTGGTAACAAATCTTCGTGATCACTATGTCACGCGGACTTAGGCATACAATTTAGGGCTATCTTGTGAAATAATTGCCTACAGACTTTGCCATTCTGTCATGCTTTTAAAAACATCTTACATAAGCAAAGAAATGAGCTAGGTTTGTATTATCCATGAAATTAAAATTGGCATTCGGATATCAACAGGTGTTGATGTGTTAAGATAGCTTGTAGCGAATCCAAAGCATTCACTTTTGATGATATTGTATCGGTGAAAGGTTCATTTGTAAATATCCAAGCGAAAGTGTAAGGCACAATATTATTGCGTAGCTAGATTGAACAGTAGTGTAGGTAGCAGTTGGTCATAACAAATTAAAATGTTCAATGCAGAATTCCATAAACAAGCAATTGGTTTCATCAACTGTTAATTTATTTTTTTTATTATTACGGCCATAGATTGCTGGGAGCTAGGAAGGTACTTTTAAAATTATTTTGTTAGCCTGGGATTGATTGTTGTGTAGAGACATGTATTTGACCTTTTTTTATATATTTGATGGGCCGACTAAACAATTATGATCCTTATCGAGAGCCGAATATTTTAATAAAAACTTTACTGAATTGTTATGTTCATAAACATAAAATCACTTGTTTTATTAAATGAAACATCTCGTTTGTTATCCTCTGACACATCCTGTAGCTGACACTCAAATCTCCAATTTTCAATTATTATCGTAACGCATAAAGTGGGATGAATCACGATATGTATCGTGCCATTGTTTTAGGTCACTTGTTTGTGTAACCCTATAGAAGAAAAATCTATGGACCGGAGAACTGTTATTTTTTCGTGTTGAATGAACTGTGTTTCATGATTTATTAGAAACAATCGCACTAGATTTATTTGGAAAACATAAACAATAAACATCTATTACTGGGTTTTACTCTTTATCTAGGGACTTTTAGTTCAAAATACGTTTAAATGCACCCGGCTTTTTTACTTCTCAGGAATTCAGTCACCTGCTGCATTTAAAGGGCAAAAACCCGTCTAGACGGCATTAGGCTGGAGTGCGGGCCTACACTTCCAACCACTACAAATGAGAACCTATAGTCAGAATTTTAATTAGATTCCAGATTTGACAATAGCTACTGTCATTTTGTGAAATAATGATACCACATATAATAGTGTAGTGATGCACACAAAAATCGATAAACAATCAGTGTGTGTGTTTTATAATAAATGTTACAGAAAGTGGCAGGATAGCGATAGCGATGACGGCGACAATTTATAAAATAACGTATTACCATAATACATCAATCTGTTTTATTTGTCATGTTCCTTCATGATTACATTTTTTTATTTATTTCACACACAATTATAAAAGAAACGTCTCAGATCGTTAATTAATCGTCAAAAAAAATTATCGGTTCAGTAATATTTAATTTCCTGATATACTTAGTTCACGAGAGTAAAATTATAATTGTTATAAACGAGAAGAATCGATCCAGAAATATTGCATTTCCATATCGAATAATTTCGCAACGTCACTATTTAGTACTTGTCATAACGTTGCCACACTGAAATTGTCAAATCTGGAATCGAATTAAAATTCCGAGTATAGTATTTTCGATCGCATTATTTGAACACTGATAATGGAGACTTTATTCTACAAAATTCTACAAAAAGTGGTCGCAAGTGCGACTGCCGGGCAAGGGGTCTCGGGTTCGATTCCCGGGTCGGGCAAAGTATTACTGGGTTTTTAAAAATCTCAGTAGTAGCGCGGAGTCTGGAAAAATGTGCCCGGTATATGGCAATAGGCTCACCCCCTATTACATGGGACTCATAACATAAATAGTGAAAAGTGGGTGTTACATTGTACGGTGGCATTAAGTGCCGAAATGTGCACCTCTGCCTACCCCTTCGGGGATAAAAAGGCGTGATGTTATGTATTCTACAAAAGTATCAACACAGGGTTGGCCAACTAAAGTCAGACAATATTTGTCTGAAAATAACCTTGTTAGGAACAGGTGACCTTTGTGGCAAGAATACTAATACACGTTAGTCCTTAGTTTAGGAATGCCCGTAGACTAGTAAAATAAATGTAAATTGCAATTCTATAATCGGCGTCAGCAGGTTATTGTTTACTTCATTCCTCCATTGTCCGAGGTTCAATACGCTATAATATAGGTACGCCGCGACCTATTATTCGAACTTTAACCTCGTTACCATGTACATTTTGATTTGCTTAAACATTTGTGCTGCATGACCGTTCAAGTATCTCTCATTAAACAACATGAGCTTGATATCAGCTTTAAAAATTAAATTAAACTCATGAGTATTTTGATACTCAGGAGCTCTTGACGTAATTAAATTAGGCACAGCAGCCATTACAGCCAATTACCTGGCTAGGTACATATCATCTTATGCCATGCTATGTGGGTAACAAATTAGCATGTATTCCATTAGTAGATTAGAGTTTGATGGCGGTACCACCTGGCCAAGCCATTGTCCGTTTAGTGTATTACTTACTGGAATTTAGCTCCATGTGAGGTTGTTTCATCGTCTAGACAAGGAAGGCTAGTATCATGTCTCCTGGGGGAATAGGTAGCGGACCGCAAATAATGTTAGCGTTGCCAGACCGTGGCGACGAGAGCCCATTGTGTGCTTGTTTGAGCTTCTATTATGGCTTATTCGCCATTCCTCTTGCCGACTGACAACTATATTTCTAGCGTGTGCTATTTTTTCTATTTTATAATTAAGTGGGTATTCGATAAATCTAATAAAATACTGCTTAGTGTAATACTGCACTAGGTCTGTGATTTTTAACTGCTGCCGATTTATATCTGAGTACTAAACAATTTAGTTTCCGTATTCATAGAGGCTTTGACGACAAACGATTCTAAATATTGCTAAAGCTAAATTTATCAATAATACTTTGTCAATCTCATTTCTTACTATCGATTCACTTGAAAATTGTAAACAGGAATGAAAGGTGCACGCAGTGCAGACGTCATAATTCAAGGTCGTTGAAAGCAAAATATCAAGCACTACATCTAAATTGCATGCCCACGACAACAAAGCAATTCTCCGAAAGGTACGGGGTTGTACAGCAAAAGAACGATGCAAATGCAAAGAACTAACAAAACTACCTACTTTCGGTCATTGTTCCCTGTTCGTTTGTCTTTGTGATTTTCAACTGGGCTTACGCTGTTCTGCCTTGTGATAATAAGTAGCTGGCTATTATTCCTTTGTATATTGTAATTATTTCTGCAACGTAGCCAACATACTATAAATAGTCTGTATTCATATGCGGACCCGTATTCCTGTATGAGTAGGACATATTGTTGCAAGCCTATTTGAGGTCTTTATAAATAGACCACTATTAAAAAGTGCCTTTTAAAGAAATCGCAATTCTATATGCTGCAGGCAAAACACAGATGATCAATACTAAAGAGCCTTATTTAAATAAATCTAGTCCAGTAACATAAATCAATCTCAAGTAACGGGATAATACCGCGTGCAGTATGACGTCACGTATTTGCTTAAGAGCCGGGTCATATTCTGAATTTAACACCAGGCTGCGCTTGCGGCTGCAACGTAGAATGCGCTGTCTTGCGGTTCGCCTTGTGGTCGTCGCCGTTCGCCACTCACGCCCATAATCTGCGATAGGAATGCTAATAGAATTAAAAGCTTTAAATAGGCCTCTGTCTTGTACTGTCGCCTGACCTCAACACGGATTCAAAAACAAATGCGCCCCTTATTTTATTATTCTTGGTTTTTACTTCACTGTGTTTAAACAAACTTCACATTTTACATGAGTACGTCTTTGCGTGTTTTGTAATCCTATCTATAATAAAGTCAGTAAAAATAGAGTAGCAATTTTTTATAACGTTACCTTTCCTTTGTTACAGCAACTCAAAGATGAGCTCGGTGAAGTGGTCGCGGAGCTGGAGGCTCTGGATGGGCAGGAGGAGTGTAAGCAAAACAGTAAAGCCAAGCAGATGAGTATAGGAAGGAAGAAATTCAATATGGACCCGAAGAAAGGTGAGCAAAAACTACTAAATACATCTCGAGAGAGTATGACAAGCCCGTTTACTGAAGGGCCGTAATACCTGATCAGTGCATCTTATAAAAACTAGCAGCATGGCCGTTCGTTCGTTTCAATTACTGGAATAGAGAAAGTATCTGAGTTACTTTTTTGATACGAGCAACGTTCTTTCTTCTCGGTGGATTGGTCATACAAGGACCTGCTTTCTCATTTAGGTTCATTACATTTTTATGAGGCAGATAAATCATTAAACACTTGTGTTTTTAAGAGATTGTGAGATAAAATCATCCGAATAACTGGCGAACTGTAAAATTCCATACAGTTCCGACGTTAATTTCTTGCGGTTCATTAAAGAATCTTATGATGGAACTATGTAATCGAAAAAAAACTGCTTATAGCCACTCACTCCAATATTTAAATATAAACGATAAAATAGTACAATAAAAGGCTTTATATTATGTAGCTCTAGACTTCATTTTCACAAATGTCTAGACATTTTAAGTATAATGTGTTGGCTAGGCATTTTTATATGGTAGACAATGTCGTCAGGCATTATGTTTCTTGGCTTACCATCAAGGTTTCGAAATCCTCAATGCAGATCGAATAGCCACTTTATTACAATTCAGCAATATTTATATCCCAAGCAATTGGGATGATGACAGGGTATGAAAATTAAAAATATAATTAGATAAAACGGATCAAAGTTTAGGAGGGGGGGGGGGAAGGCTAAAACGTCGTTTCTACGTATAAAATGTGCATAGAAGTGACGTCACGCGACATTTCAAATAAATATAATATCGTCGAAAGAAATACGTGTCAAATGATTTAAAATAATCTACCAGACGGACATTAAAATAAAAATTAAGCATCTACCGTATTGTTTAGATATGTGACTATGATTAAGAGTCTTTATATCTCTTAGAAATTAATATATAAAGCAATTAGGTGTTTTTATGGGGTCCTTCGTCATTAAAATAATGGTATAAAGAGAATTCTTGGTACAATGCTATGCGATGCGGCAGGTGCGGCGTTCTCACGGCCGGTCAAACGACATATTCTGCAAATTGTTCTATTCCTGCACTTTTACACCTGTCCAACGGACAACTCTTGTTAAATAGATTATACCTAATTATGAATTAAGACAATTTTCCACCACCCTTTGCGTGTTTACAGCATTATGCTGTGCCTAAAATCCTAAGTTCAACTTTATCGCATGTTTTTGTTATCAGCAAATACCGAATAATGCTAGCCGTGATTTACAAGTGAGTAACGATAAAATTATTGTATAGTTCAGGCTTATTTCGTACATTTTGCTAGTTTTATCTTTAATTATTATTATATTAACTAATTTCTAAATTACGTGCGCGTACAATCCTTGAAAAACTCGTAATTGCATGTTCTACTTTAAAATAGCCTCATCACCTCGATATTTTGTACCTGAGTGCATCCTTATATTTGCGTTATTCTAGCTGATCGCGGCTAATGGCAATACAATTTATAACCTTATTTTTTGCAGAAAATATTCTTTCACCCAACGGTATATTCCTAAAACACATAAAATAATAACGTTAAGACCTCGATCTGCTTTCATTCTGGCTGAGAGAATTTTTGTTCGGCTTATCGATCGAAACGAGTCCCTTTTAAAGCGTGTAGAACCTACGTTTCTCTCGTAAAATGGCTATATGCGTTAGAAAATGTTTCAGTAACGTTCGAATCTTTCCATGCTATGCTTCATTGCGTTCTCGTTATCATGACTCTGGCACTTTACGCCACTATATTAGATGTAATCGCTACCAGTGGTCGCCATCCTGTAATTAACTCGATAGGTGGACCTGATATAGGTTAGGTTTCTGCAAGTAACGGTACAAATTACTGCTATCAAGAATGCTTTCGATATGGTAATAAATCATCGCCCGCATTAGAGGGAAATTGAGAGTTTTTGTATGAAACTTGTACTGGCTTTGTGTTGTATCTTGTTCAGTATTTGTGGATAATATGCTAATAAATTATCAATTAAATGTAGCTGCATTTTCTTCGTTTATGGGCCATGGAATTGCATTAAGTTCCTTTTACCACCACTCCAAATTACATTTCATATAATTATTTTCGTGTATAGAGGTTTCGTGTACATTTTCTTATCTTCTATCATCTTTATTAGACAGACATTTCATGACCTCGCAATAAAAGAAGCAGAATCACAAATTCTTTTTACCGGCTAGTGTTCCGGTACTAATTAGGTCATGTTGACAGTAACAACTAGCCTCCTGAAGAGTTGGATGTAAGGCACGAGGTCTACTGAATACATGCTTCAAGCTTGGCAGACGCTTGAGCACTCCTGTTCTCAAGAGGAGGCGTAATGGGATGTAGTCGTATACCTGGACGCTTCCTAATGATGTCATCCCATGAATAGATTTATGTCTTGTGACTTTGTGGCTTCTATTTTTATAAATAGGTAAACAAAACAGGAAAAATTCATAAAAACCCTCGAATCTTTCGTCAATGTATTTTTTGTCATAACCAAGCGGTTCCACATTAAAAATTCAACATTTTGTTAGGCAATACAATTAATCCATAACGTGCTGTACCGTTTCTTAATAATTCATAGTATTTTGTTGACCGGCTTTACGCGGTAACATTATTTCTGCGCGTTAAACCAGCTTCGCATCGGGATTAGCCATGCTGGATTATGGCTGCGACATTACGGTAAAGGGTAATCACTCTTACAGAATCGTAAATATGGCAGCTATTTATAAGAAAACTTTATAGCTTTATAATCTGTCTTTACGTTGACTATTTATATGAAAAAGTAATGAATAAATAATAAGACACGTAAAGAATAATCTAAGTTAATAATTGCCTGATGACTAATTGTGAAGTCGTCAAACCGCACCATACTTTTGTTTCGTGTGAACTGGACAGACTTACTAAGTATTATTTGTCAATATTTTTTCCTCCCACTGTTAACAGATCGTCAGATTAGTTCTGAGAATTAGTTGCAACATTAAATTATTAGCTGACCATCATTTTCACGAAACTGTTGCAACACTGCGAGACTGAAATTCCACTTAAAATACATTTGAATGATCGAATAATAATCCAATTATACTCGAGAAAGGCTTTACACACGACTGGACTCTCTTAAATCTCCTACCCTGGTTGATTTGTTAAAATATTTCTACACCAGGAATGTTGTTAACAGCAAATAAATTGAATCTTTTGAGCGGCAAAAAGGCGTTAATATGCTACGTATTCTGTAAAAGCATTGTTGTTCAATTGTGCGTGGTTTTGCATGATCGAAAACATCTCTAATTTAGCTAGCAATTAATTTGCGACGACATAATCATGCAGAGAATAGAAAATAAATGAAAATTATTTCTGATATTTAAATATTAATTTAGTTGACTGTGAAGCAACAACTGTTATGACCGAGACATCAGACACGAATGTCCCCAACAATTGCATAACTCTAGCCTTACTCACTTCATAACTGCATATCTGCATAAATAATTTTAATTACGTAAAACAAGAGACTCCAGTGACTTCTTTCCCTTGGGAAATTATTATTCAAACTTCTTTCATTGTTCACAGCAACTGAACTGTCCACTGATTTTCTTTGTTTATAGCCCACGCAGATATATTTTACCTGTTTTGTTACTTATTAAAGGAACATGACATAAGCTTGTTGACTGATAGAGTACGTAAGTACAGTAGATTGTCATGCATCAATTACCATTAATCATCTTGTTTATCAGCCTAATCGTTAGTTAACTTGGTTACCCACAGCCTGTGTCAATTTATCCATTCGTGTCACTGAGACTTTTCATAACAAGTTTTACGACTGAAATCTGAAACACTTGATGAATTATGTAAAATCCAACCGATAAAATCATTCGCTGGGAAATGCTATTTCAGCCATTAATAACCAATAAATTGAAACCAGTTGTCTATCATACAAGTCTTACATAATAACATTTTATTTATTTTTAACTTCACTAGAAGTCAATACACTTAATTGATTAAATGCAAATGTGATTACTATAGCTAGAATACTTTTACATACGTAAAACATTTATGTTTCTTCAATTACTTGGCTGCTGAATCAAAGCATCGATCTGGTTTCATGTTTTAGCAGACGGCGCGCCAGTGCGCTATCGCTAACAAGCTTGTTATTGTTGCAAGCGTCACACGGTCGGTCCGCTTCTCGCTCACTTAGCACCAACGATCCGTCATGCTGCTATCTGCAATTTTGCATGCCGCAAGATGGAACCTTCAGTCGACACCAACATTTATAAAACAGCCAAAGTGCAAACTCGCTCGACATATACGATACGGAAGATAAATGTCTTATATTTATCGCGTACTTACACCCGATATACTTCGCAAAGATTTTCAATGGTAAAATATCTTCGCTATAAAATCCCCTTTGGTTGCTAAATTGCTGCTTGTGCTTACGTAAAATCCTTTTTTTTTCTGTATAAGTTTTGGCGTTTATTTACAAGTGAAGCCTGAAATACACAGCCCACGCTTATTACCCCCATTGAAGCTCCTGGCTCAGTGTGGGGGCGGATGACGTCATTCAAGACCATTAGGATTTTGTACGCAGTACAATTGTGACGCAAATATTTAAATTGTATATACAGTTCCTTGGATGGTGGCAATAACTTCAGAACCAAATATATTATTATGTGTATTATAATTATTATGTAGTATGCCATTTATATTATTATATTCTGTGCATGTAGTACTTAAACGAACATACGTAGAATCTAAAACAAAGCGTGACTTATTTCTGAAATAAATGACGTCCGCAAATTATTACTATTTATTTCATTGTAGCAGATCATATAATTTTAATAGCTTGCTGTTGTACATGCTCGGCTTTGTAGGTATTGAAAGGTCGACATTTAGCATTTACATAGCGGGCATTGTTTGCATGGAAGTGCATTCCACTGCTCCTACGATTACAGCTCCAAATGGGTGCAGGTACGGTCATCGTTCGCTTTCTCAACATTTTGCGTATCGTCGAGAGCTCTACTAAGCTTTTAACAGGCTTCGCCTGCGAGATGGAACGTTTTACAAAATATACAAAGCGGTCGGTCATTTGTATTCCACAAAATGAGGATGTTTCGCTATGAATGACGTGAATATTAATTGAGGAAGGAAAATCATACAAATGAAATCCAATGATAAGGTTGTAATTTAAACTCGTTTCATACTCGTTGTTTGTATGTTTGACTAAGTAACACTTGCACATTTTATTGATGGTGACTGTTAAATCAAACTACATATATGTAAATTAAATAAAAAAAAATGTAATATACAGAAAGCTTATTGCGAAGTTACTCCTGTGATTTCTTTTGCAATTTAAGGCTTTTCGTTCAGTCACATGATCTAAATTCGGACACGGTAAAAGTTTGGTAAAAGTAAAATTTTCTCTTTATGCCATGTCACAATGCCTGGGAGACAAATATATTTCCCACTATTTTATTAATTACAGAACTTCTTCACATATGCGTCCAATTATAACACGTGTGAATTTTGTTTTAGGAATCGAATACCTCTACGAGAACGGATTATTGCAGAGGACACCTGAGGATGTAGCGCAATTTCTTCACAAAGGTGAAGGTCTAAGTAAGACGGCGATAGGTGACTACCTCGGTGAACGTTCAGAATTCAATGAGGCGGTTCTCAAAGCGTTCGTTGAATTACACGACTTCACGGACCTAATACTAGTTCAGGCACTCAGGTGAGTTGAAGACAGTTTAAACATATCTATAGTAGACTTCAGAGACCAAGCAGCACATGAGTGGTTTCTTTGATCAGAAAATAATTTAATACACGAAACAGGCTTTAGTGAAATATAAACGAGGTGAACGCCCGTTTCCCGGTGCCAAGTGAAACCTTTTACTTTAAAATTGGATCGAATAGCTCGATTCCATTTCAGGTGATATTATATTTTCAAATGGCTATGTAGTTTTGGGATTATCTAATGCATAAATAAAATGGCAGTAGTCCGAAACGAGTTTTCAAAACTACGATAAATAGTTGTAAAATGTGGCACAGCTAGTGCCAGGAAAATTGTAAAACTAGTAGCACTAAAGAAGGAAGTTATAATTTTGTTTTAATATTTACAATTCGTGTGTGATGCTGGTTTCCTTGTAAATTTAAATAAGAAGATTACGAGATACCTTTCGGGGAAAACTGAGATGTGTAAATAACAAATATTTTGACATTAAATGAAAACACTTTTTAATTACATTGTTTATCTATAAATAGTGTTTGCCTGCTAAAGTAAAGACAAGATACAGATAATAATTTGTTGTTCAAGAAATTCTAAAATCGATAACCGCTTTATTGGTCAATTTCGGCGAAATAAAAAGATGGGTTTAGTTTTTTACGAATTGCTTTTGGGGATATACCAACTTCTGTTTTTGGCTTATCTTTAAATTTGATGAATATGTATCCACGTTTAAACATCTGACAAGCTCGTTGGTTTTTGTTGAATAAAACAAATAAACCATTGCTGTGTTTGTCTGTAGTCTCATCTTCACTTGGCATTCGGAAACGTTTCACTTGGCAGACATAGCATTTTGAACTAAGGTCATTCACATTACTCTTTCTCAGACACATAAGCGCACATGCAGAAAAACGAATAACGTCTCCTCCATCATATATATAGAAAGTTTAATATCGAGATCTTGTTATAAACTATTCTCCGTGTAGACGCGTTAATGGACTTCTATTAAAGTGCTGCTCTTATCTATTACAGACAATTCTTGTGGAGTTTCCGTCTACCGGGCGAGGCTCAGAAGATCGATCGAATGATGGAGTGCTTCGCTCAAAGATATTGCCAACTAAACCCGGATATCTTTACGAACGCGGACACATGTTATGTACTAAGTTTTGCGATAATAATGTTGAACACTTCACTACACAATCCCAGTGTTAAGGACAAACCGCTGCCTGAACAGTTTGTGGCTATGAACAGGGGATTAACAATGGCGGGGATCTACCGCAGGAGTTACTCTTAGTAAGTATCTAGTGTTAGCAATGTTAGTCTAGAGATAGAGACATGTTTATTAAAACTCATTTCTTTGTGTCAATATACTTTACCAGTGACAGTTCACACAACAGATATCTTATGTTTACTAACATTGACTGTTGACTGATTGGTTTTATAAGCTGGGATGGGAGCACTCGAGTGTCAATTGTTTCGAACGTTGTTGGAGAATCTAATTATGATAAAGGTCGTCCCATTCTATAAATATACTGCCGAGTTCCGGATTTGTATGGGATGGAATTTAATATTTCCCGGCCTAGACAGTTCGTCTAGCGTCTCCGCCCACGTTACTCTTACTGACGTCATTGTAGTAGCATTAGCACTTCGTGTTAGGTATCATAGTAAAGTGTACTGTATAGGCAATATTTAGGTCGCCTCGTGCCTTTACTTATAGTTAACTAGCATGCGAGGTCAACGGCATACATTGTATGAACAGTATTTTTATAATAATTCTTACTTACGTATTAGGTGCTTACCTAGGTGTTTCCAGTGTTTTCTTCAAGTCTACATATTAGTTTATTGTAGTATTGTAGACAAACATATATTACTCAGTGCTTACTCATACGAAATTATAAGTACTTACATAATTAGTAACTAGTAACCACGTACGTAGTTAAAGTTATCATTTAAATTCAATTAGGCTATGAATCATTCTATTTATTGTGGTACCATCCTGATGACAATTCTAAGATATTATTTAAATACAGTTTAATGATAAATAAATATGAAATATTGATGGACATTTAATTTATTTATACTGTCTCAAACAGTAAAATATAATATTAAAGCTATACTAAGTGTAATTTAACAAATCTTAATTATTTATTATTCCAAAATTGGGGTCCAATTGAGCAATTAAATTCTTCATTTGAGCATGAGAATTGTGGTTAACTAAACTTGTGTTATATGGTTAATTGAAACCTAAACCACAAAAACATGGTTTTTGGTACCTACGCAATTAATTATGAAATTAGTTTTCATATTCATTGTCATAGTATAACATAATAATTCAAGTTTCTAATTTGGTAACAATAAGTGTTGCTAAAAACCACTGGGAAATACAATTTCCTGATTGCGTTGTCATTAACTGCGTTTTCCTAATCGAAATCACGTCAAAGTCGCATAGTTTTTGTTCCTTTCCGTTGTGCCTGTGTGGCTAATGAAACAAATATACTCATAAATGATAAATACTGCATAGATAATGCATGTTTACTGGTCTCGATGCCAATAGCTCGACACACTGCAGTAATGTTACCGCAGAATATTATTGTAAGTGCGCATATTCACGTATATAGACAAAAGCACGTTTACTATTTTTATTTCAATGTTTTTGCTATCATAGGTCGCGGAAATGTTATTCCTAGTTATAAATATCAATAAATTATAATTAGTTTAAAAACAATCACGATAAACCGGCCCAATCTGTAATGGTAATGACTCGAGTTGACGTAAATAACTTTGTAAACAATCTGAAATCATTAGCGGCGTTATCTGTGAAGTAACTGCGCGATAAATATCAGTATCTTAATGTCACAGTTGAATGTGAGTTACTGTTTAAACTAGTGGTTTTATGTCCATTCACGGACGGTAAAAGTATTTAAATACAAGCCACTAAATGGGAGTTTTAATTAATTTTGTTTATACTCGTGTCTATTAACTCCTAAACTGACGAACTTATTTTCGTTCACACCCAGTAAGTGATGTTTACGCTGTTAACTCTGTGGTAATATTATGTTTTATTGAGTTTTTATTTGTTATTTCCAGTCGCTGTACGAGTCAATAAAAACTGAGCCGTTCAAAATACCGGAGGACGACGGCAACGATCTCATGCATACTTTCTTCAATCCAGACAAAGAGGGATGGCTGTGGAAACAGGGAGGAAGGTAAATATAACTACATATTTTAACATTCACCAAAATATCCGTAAGGAAAACATTTAAACGGCAAATGGTTTATACGTGCGAGGTGCGAGGTGACCTGTCAGATTTCGCTCGATGAGATCTTTAACCTTTTAAATTTTACATGTATTTGACAGGTGAACTGTTCTGACTCCACCTCGAATATTTAAATCTTTGTTCACGTGGTTACGGAAAACTAAACAACTCAAAGACGGGATCTCACGTTACACTTTCTTTTTGCGATCAAATGTCATTGAGATTAATGATTTCAAGTGCCTTCGTTTTTCATATTACGGAACTTGTACCTTTGCAAACAAACGTACATATTATTTTGGTTTGTTTCACTAAAGAATGTTGCTGGTCATGGAAATTAATTGGAATGTAAAATACGCCGGTTTTCTTCGCTTAAAATATTAGTTTGCGAATGTAAGTACCTACATATTTACGTAAAACACGCGTAGTATTTTGCGTAGCGTGTTGCTATGGTTGTGGTTCGTTAAAGTGAGATGCTAATACGTATTATAATTACCACGTGCTCATTAGCCATCGTTCGAAACACGCGAGTGAAGTCACTTTGGTGTCATTTGTATTGTTCATATTTTATTTACTCACACAAAAATGTGATAAGTGCGGAACCGCCCTTTTAATCTTATTCCCATTAACCTAAAACACGGAACGCAGGTAAATGAACAGTAAAAAGACACAGGCATTAAACTCCGGTCTGAGTCAAACCTAATATTATTTATTATGATTGAATCTAGAAGCTTTTTGCCGTAAAGGTTCAAAGCGTGTTATTTTCCCCATTTTTTGGCGTTAGTAAATTAGAATCAGGTATTGTGAATTTGTGAGATGACATCATATGTTAAGAGGTATGATTTCATACCTTTATACCTGGTCAACTAATGTGACGCGACATGATCCGCTATGGTTAAAATAACACTAGATTTATACGAAATCGTCTATTCACTAAACAAGCATAGTACACAAACTCAATCCAAATTAACAATAGACACTGCGTCTATAGAAAATACAGCAAAAAATCGAATAGGTTCAGTGCGCAACGGAGTGGATCTATTCACTTAACTTATACTTTTTTCAATTTAAAACATCTACCTGTACTAACATTAGTTTTTTGTTACATTACAGATACAAGTCGTGGAAGAGACGGTGGTTTATACTGAACGATAACTGCCTGTACTACTTCGAATACACGACGGACAAAGAACCCAGGGGTATCATTCCATTAGAGAATATTTCTGTAAGTATTATGGACAAAAAAGTCCTTTTCTCATGTATTCTGGTAGGCTCTTGACTGCTCAGTAGGTACTTGTATCTTTGAATCCCGGATTGTAATATTTACAGTTATAGAAATATATGGCTTACCTACGTGAAAATGTTGGAGAATCTCTTCTAGTTTCAAGATACACTGGGACTCTATATGTATAGATAATTTTATTTCTCTATAAATTACACTCCTTAGTCACTTTACTGTGAAAGTAAATTAATTACAGTAAGTATCATAAAAATATTAAGATTTAAACCATCACTGTTATAGTTTCTTCTAACATTTAAAACAAAACAAGACTGGTTTAAAATTAAGAACAAAAGTCAATGACATCGTTAATATGAATTACAAATTCAATATTAGTCGAACAATAATCACTTGTATAACATAGGTCGTTTATCTACCATAAGCCGTACAAATGTCAACTGCTGTCCCCTCTAGCGTGCAAACTATGCAGGGCTCATAAATAATGCATTGTACTTAATAATCAATAATCTAAACTAGTCATAACTAGGTGTTTCTTTTGTCAGGTACAACTAGACAAACTAGTTTTATGTCGCTTCACATTCCATACGTCTGTCTCTTTGCTAAGTGGTACGCAGCAAATATGGCGAACTAGTTTTAGTGCTAAATAGACATGTTGGAGACAATGTAGTGTCGATATGACTGCCTTGTTTGTTATGTGGTCACAGATGTATCTTTTTCGATTCCCAAATTAACCAAAATATTATTAAGATTTTCGCTATAGTATACGAGGTGTAAAATTTTTTGATTAACTTTCATCGAACTGGCGAAAAGAGAGTCTTACGTATATTGTAATGTAATGTTTGCCTCTAGCTATATCTTTGTGATGATATTATTATCGATATGCCTGCCTGTTTTAATCGTAAATGTAATTTGTTTACGCGATTACCGCTAGACCACTACTCGAACAAAAAGTGTTAATGAGTTTTTAGTACCTATTTATGATATTAGCATAGTATGTTTTGCAGAGCCAATGGTCATGCACTTGACCTCTGAATAATTACAATGAGAGAATAGAGCGATTCTGTATACTTATTTGCTCTCAAAGTATATACACAATAATGTAGCTACAATAAAGTAGATACACAATAATGCGATAGGGCAGACTAGTTGAGATTGGCGATTTAATCTATCTGAAGATACCTTGTTATTACCGGTATTCAATTTTTATTCAAAGTTTTCGAAGGAAAATTAAAAAGACCGGTTTTACTCAATATTGAAATTATATATCCACAGTTCATTCACCATACGTTGTTTGTAATACTTTGTATGATTCACGTTGACCATGGTGTTTACCCCTTTCCTAGTGTCCTTATTTATAGGGAAAAAGTGATACCTGGCCACGTAAATGGTAAATGGCTAGTAGTTAAATTCTCATTTTTCTACTTATCCGTATCACTTCGCGCTTCTGAAAAATAATAAAGAACAATTTTATTACATAAATGATATGGACTAATGTATTAACATAATTGCGACAAAATAATGTTGCTACGAGATTTTCTCTTAGATTACTTATAGCAAACTGTCATGAAGTGGCGCCAAGTATGTCAAGAGAATGCACTCGAGATTCGATAATAAACCTACATTTTCAATAATAAATGATAACTGCAATATTTGTACACCTTTTGCAATCGAAAGCAGATTACGATGAATGGAACTTTGTTCTATGTCGAAACTGTAGTTAACTTTATTTACAGAATTCCGTCATAAGTTACGTTGTAAATTAGTAATAGACGTACCCATGTTAGGTATATATAGATTTCATCGTCATCAGCATCATATCAGCCAAAGGACGTCCACTGCTGAGCATAGACTACATATCTATAGATTTTATTGACATGAAAGGTTTTTAAACATTTCTTAATAGTAATAACCTCTTCTCTTTACAAGTACATTGTAAAAGATACAATGACCTTTTACATTCAGAAAAATAAGGTGTTGAGTGTTTGTCAATATTTACTTTTGGAACTCGTTTCGCGATGAGTGAGCATCTTGTATCCTTGTACAGTGTATGTAATGTATGTGTTATTTGGTTGCAGGTGAGGCCAGCGAGCGACAGACAACGGCCTCATTGTTTAGAGCTTTACGCGAGCGGTGGGGCTGATCTCATAAAGGCGTGCAAGACTGACTCCGAGGGGAAAGTCGTCGAAGGCAAACACACTGTATACAGGTAAATATCCTTGTAAATCATCTTTTACAAACAATTTGCTCACGTTTTTATGTGAACATAACGTGTTTATATTGCTAACAGGTATTTATGGGGTCTTTCCTTGTCGCTACCACTACCACAGAGTTTGGGATTTTCATGGGTCGTTCATAATTCTGAAAACGATAAAGTGAAACCCAGTTGTGTTGAGTCAACTTTAATTAACTGTAGTAGTGAGAAATGGGACTATTTCCCCATACAATTTTATCGTATTCATTACCTACATACAAGAAAGTAACTTCGTGTACGCAATAATCGGGGTGACATTTTCTCTTGTGAAAAAACCCTGTAAATAAATAAGGAAAAAAAAGAAAGTAACGATGAAACTTTCCAAGAATTTAAAAATTAATGTGATTATTGTTCATTTCAGAATGTCGGCAGCTACAGCGGAGGAGCGAGATGAGTGGATCGAGTGTCTCCGCCGCTCCATCAGTCATAATCCGTTCTACGACATGTTGGCGCAGCGCAAGAAGAAGGCCCAGCACAACGTGCACTCGGCGCACTAACTACACACCGTGCCAGTACCGAGTGTACCTACCGAGTTTACCTTACAATATCTTCCTTTGTCAATTGGTATTGTGATGCGCCGGGGTGGCTCCACCCTGCAGTAACACGAGCAGTGTTGGGACGTTCATGATGAAACACAGATAACATAAGTGCAATTCAACTACATCAAACCACCTCAGTAAACGAGCCTTAATTTTAAATGTGGTTTATACAACTTCGGCCCAATAAAAGTAAACTATAAGTGATCTTTGTTTTTGGGGTATAGCCTATATTAAACAAATCGTGTTTCTTTAACTCCTAATATTGACATTTATCATAATTTATTGTAGAGAATATAGTAGAATTTTATAAATACGGTGTACCTAAAGAGTCATAGAATGAAATAATATGCATAACGAGTGATATGTAATGCGTTTGATAATAATATAACGTCTGTATCAACATTGATGGCGAAATAAGTTTTATTTTATCGTGTTATTTTGTGTCAAAGTCATAAGTGAGCTTAACCCCGTGGTAACGTCCGTCAAGAGTCAGCTAATGACTTGACAATAGCCATTAGTCATAACTCCAATGAATATGTGATATTTAGCCATGATAACGTCGTACGGAATGTATTGTGTTGTACATATCTGAACACATAACTACGCATCATTCATGGCTGCTGGTCCATGTATATAAACGAAGGAAAGACTGAAAATTGTGCTTTTTAAACATCGCCTATTCGAAAGTGGAAGTTGTAGTCGCGTGCGTATTCATTATCAGATTGTCAACGTAGTTGTAATTTATTTTATGTCACACGTCCGCACCTAACTCAATTAATCGCACATCGACGATACATGCAGTAAAATGAAGCGGGACGTGACTTGTATGTTACTGTCTTAGAAAACAACTTGGTGGAAAAGTGACTGTCAGTCACTGCTGTGAGATTAGTTATGATTGTTACGATGAACGAGTACTGCCAAAATTACAATAATTTGTTAAAACAATAAATATGAGTTATAGCATTTCCTAATGTTATACAACATATTGTTTTATCATCTTTTCTCAGGACAATAAGTTCGTTTTGTGAGATCGACAAATGTTTTGTTGATCTTTAGCGTAATAACACCATGGTGGAATTGTATTCAATGAAAGTATTACTTTATTATTATTGTATTGTAACATATTATGTGAAGAAAGTGTAAAGTAATACATGTATAAATAGTTAATTAGCCTAACTAAGTGTATGGTGGCCATTACTTCTTGGGAATGTAAATATGGCTTGATGACAGAAGGTAGATAAGGCAGGGCAGCCAATTTTTGAAAGACTAATTATTGGGAAAGAGACATAAATCTCAGTAAGGATCGGTTTTATTTATGTTTTAGTCGATAAATGGAATAGTGGTTATGGTTGGCGTCATCATTCTCATCATCATTTCCGCCCATGAACATAGATATAAACTGTAGGTAATTTTATAGCACTCGCCTTTAAAGTGGCCTAACATCATCATTCAGTGTCATTAACAGTGATTTGATTAGTATTTCAGAAGTTGGATGTTGTCACTAGTATAATTTTACATTAGATGACAAAATTTTAGTTAACATTCCTGTTCTTTAATCTAAATCATTTCAAATGAATGTGGATGCAGCTTTGCTCCAATTATGTTTTAATTATTCTAATGAACTGTTTCTTTCTAGTTGAATTCTTTATGTTCTGTAAATAATTTCATATAACATGTACCTAATTCAATTTCATTTAATTCTAATTCAAATTTCCTATCTTTATAATGAAAAGTGGATGGAGTGTAGTAGTGCGAAGGATTATTTTGAAAAATCTCTTGATTGGCTACATATAAATCTACGTATTATTTTTAAATTAAAACGGCCATACTCATATATTGCCTTAATTTTTATATAATTTTAAATGTATCATGTGAATAAGGCTTTAAATAAAACAGTGTTAGAAATATATTTATCCATTTATTCTAGACACAGATTAATATGGCTGTTTTAAATGACATAATTATTCACTATTATATGTTTTATTGAAGAATAATGTTTATTATTATATTATTTGATTTGTAATAATGATATTAGGGGAGGTATAAATTCTGTTTTGTAATTATTGTTTATGGAATGGTGCCTACAATGATCTGCAACTAGTTTAACTTTCTATAGTAGTTAGATACCTACGTATAGTGCGCTGTAAATTCGCTTTAGAAACGTTAATTTATCAATGTAATGTTTTATATGACAGCGGATATGTGCATAATAATGGTGTTGTAAATAATTTTGTAAGAAAATGGATATACATAAAATATGTTTATTTACTACTTGGATTTTATTTTAGTCTAATTCCTGCTTCCTTATATTACTTTTATACCGGATGAAGAACATGAAAAACTGTTACAACTGTTTACTACAATAGGTATGCGCTAATTGCAGTAATTGACATGAACGACAGTGAGCATTAATAAATTAATTATATGAAGAGTGAATAAAGTCGGCGCTACACGATTACGATAAATGGTTATCGTTCCTCCACGCAAATTGCAATACTCGAAGAACCAGTTACATGTACAAATTTTCCTGAACACTTGTTTAATTCGACCGACCGTGACGCATCCGCCTTCCTTTTCCGTTGGTGAAACGTGCGTTGCGCAAACTAATGCTGAAATTATATTATTGGCTATGTCCTACATAACGTACTCTATAACATACAAATTATTTTATGTTGTTATCTCACTACTAGCTGTTGCATGCGGTTTTACCAGCTTGGCCATAAGAGAATGTTGCCTGTATCACTTCAGTCAGATTTGAAAATTCATACCATATAATGCAACAAAATTGAAAGACAAACAAACAGTTATCCATTTATAATATTAGTAGGTAAGGAATTGACGCAGTTTGAACGTAACTGAAACAGAGTGAGTGAGTGAGAGCCAAACGCAGGCAGACTTTATATTGTTACCTAAACATCTTAGTAGTTATGGAGGGTGACAAATAGCGTGTCAAAGTAAATGAACATCCTAACGAGGTAAGGTGTCATCAGTATCAATCGACGGGCGTCCCTGGTAAAGGACCTCCTAATCTTAAGTCTACTTTGGTAAGTCCTCCTAGTTAGATAATAATTTTGGTATTATTTGCTCATAACAATAATTATGGTAGCTATTTGGCTATAGAACGATACTAATAGACATAATACACTTTTACGAATACCTAGAGTAGGTACGAATAGAATAGATACAAAGATAATTCTTTTATAACGCCCCCACTAAGGTCTACGATCTAGCAGATACGCAATCATTGTATCAGTGTTAAGTTAGCGAACATTATGAAATACATTATAGGTACCAGCACTGATTTGCATACATTGCGTGTTCAAGTTACGTAGGAAGCTACTCGTAAATTTACAAAGATCGATACAAGATTAGGTAAGTATTAACTCGTCGAGTACCGGTTTTATAGACACAATTAAAGAACAATAGGTCGCGGTCACCGGTGACCGCTTGGTGTTTGACAGTTTAAGAGAGGATGATCGATGATAATGCTTTTGTGTGTTTAAATGTGAAGGGTATATCAACTGAGAATCATATTTTAACATACTAAGCCTAATCTTGTTAGTGCGAGTGAATCGTTTGTAATGCAACTTTGTTGGTTCCATTTGAGTACTTATTGAAATGCAGGCAGGCCTAGGCTCTACACTTACGGGTACGGGTACAAAGTACATATCAAACTAAAAATAGGATCATCAATATCATCATTAAATAAAAGTGTCAAAGTGTGCTGACTGGAGTTGAATTTACGTTGCGTAGCAGCTCATACTGCAATCCGCTACGTCAACCGTAGGTACAGGGAAATTTATCGTACCGGATATTAAATCTAACATGAATACTTACTTTAGCTTTGAGATTATTGGGCAGCAAATGATAACATGAATTTATGATGAAGTGAAACCACTATTTAAGTAGCAGATCTATTTATTAAAAGTCTGAAAACGTGACAGTATTTCCGCCCCCTCGTAGCGGGAAGCACGTGAAGCCATTAGCTAAGGTAAGGGCCAAGATAAGGGTTTCTGGATGAATAAGTATAATATTTTTTGAGATACTAATGGCACAGTTATAGGTTGTTATGAATATTGAATCTTAGAGCTTACCTACTTAAGTATAGTTGAAAGGTATTTATGAAGCATACGCCATTAACACCAATTTCTTGCTAAGTCCAGTCAATCAATACCGCTACAAGAATACTTTACCTTACCCTAGCTCTATACAGGGCTACATACAATAGTAGGTACTCAGTTATAAATATTTACAAACAACAAATATTAAACAAGACCACCAAAATCCAAATGAGGTCCACAGGACACAATAGTGCGATTTCAATCACTCGTATAACAATTGCTTTGTACCTACCTCCTAACATATGAACCTACATAGTTCGTTTGTTGTGGAAGTAACATTGGCCAGTACAATTTAGGCTAGTCACGTTTGTCGATGGCACATTGGTAGCTACTCAGACATTAATGAGGATGATTATGACTGTGATTAAATATGTGCTAGCTGCAGGTGTGGTTGGTGATCGATTCAATGAATTCAATGTTTATTGGTCATTCGTTTTGGTCGAGTCAATGCCTAATCTATGTATGTACGTAGTAGTGTTTAATGAAGGTGATTAGTTTGTTTCGTTGAATTCTTCGTATGTACGTTTGTTAGTGATATAACTGATTGCGATATTCCTCAAGGAGTTTTCTTTGAATAGTCCCTACACAAAATACGATTGTTGGGAAGGTAAAAAGAGTCTTAGGAGCTATTCAGATTTATAAATATGATATTTTCATCAACTGTAATTTTATCTACTACTGTGACTTCCACGGGTGCAAATGACATCTAGCTTCATATCTCCAGTCCTCCACTGCGCTGGCTGTCTAGCTCTCCGTGATTCTGGAGTTAATGCCGCACCATTTAACAGAAGACTTGATTACGTTACATCTTTCGGGACTTTCCTGACCTGAGTCAAG